GGGAAAGAGGGCCAACCCAGGGAATACTACACTTTGGATTCCATCTTGTTTCTGCTCAATAACGTGCACCTTTCACATCCTGTTTATGTCCGCCGTGCTGCAGTAAGTAAACAATATAAAATTTTATTTTGTCTTGTTTGTGATAAGTAATGTGTGCATAGTTATTTCCAGGGAATGATAGTAGCATTTCGGTGTATGAATTTGGCTGGGGAAAGGGGAAAAGATACACAACGAAGTGTGTGTGTGTCTTTAAAAAAAACAACACTTCTATGTAGGGATGAAGTGACAATCCATAGCAAGGTGGAATATTTTTCTTGACAGTTCACTTCCTAAGAGATTATCCCTTCAAACCACCAGGTTGCATTTACAACCAGAGTCTGTCACCCAAATATTAACAGTAATGACAGCATTTCTCTTGGTATTCTGCGGTCACAAGTGTCTCCAGCATTAACTGTTTCAAAAGTACTTTTGTCCATCTGTTGTGCATTCGCAATCTAGATGATCCTTTAGTGCCTGAGATTGCCAAATTCTACAAAACAGAGAAAAGTATGAAGACTAGCTTTGGAGTGGACTCCGAAGTATGCAAATTGGATAAGCTCTACAAATAAAGATAGGGGAACTCTGAAAGTCTATTTAATTTCCTTTTGACTGCTTTCTGTGAGCCCATGCTTCATCTGCCCCTGTGACACCTCTGTGACACCTGTTACCTGATACAGTGGTGCTGCATGTTTTACTTGCTTGGAACAGCAAAATTGAATATTTCTGTGTACCAGCATTGACTCCTGGCAGAGAAGTGTGTGTGTGTTAAAGCTAGTTCTTAATCTTTAAAGTGAAGGAGGAAAAAGGCTGTCCCCTCTAAGTTTTATAGCAGACAACAGATTTCATTTTGTGTAGTTCAGTGTCCTTTAGGAAGTAATTGTATTTTTAAGCCTGATAGTTATGCTTTCTTGGGAGGCAGTACATGTATTCCTGTCTTTGAGCAGTTTTCAGTAACAGTGAAAAATCTTCAGCGAGCGACTTTCTGAGGGAGTAACAGTTTAATGTCTGCTGTCTTTTCAGACTGAAAACATTCCTGTGGTAAGAAGACCTGATAGGAAAGACTTGCTTGCATACCTAAATGGGGAAACCTGTGAGTGATTCTTTCTTTTAACTTAAACACAGCATGCTTTACTACTTCATATTTATGGGACAAGTGAGGGGTAGGAGGGAAAGGATGGTTAATGATAGTCATTTTGCAGCTTAACTGAATATGCTCAAACTTCTCAAGTGAAGTTAGAATTTCTTTTATATTTTACTTTTGTTCTTAACTTTAGTTTCTTAACTATTTTCATGGTACTTAGATATGAGCTGCATTCCTATGTGCGTGTTTAGAAGTGAGCTACTTCAGTAGTGTATTGATCTTGATGCAACAAGTGTGTGGTATAAAACCTTTAGTATAGTAAAAGACAAAATCACTGCTTTGTCATCTGGCAAATTTGCCTGGTATTCCATCATCTTAAAATTTCTGTTAACAATAGTCAGAGAAAAGAGGTTTCTCTGAGAGAGAGGTAAATATGGCTTACTTGTGTAAGTTGCTCTGTTTTGTGGGAGGTCTTGAAATTTTTAGTGTACTGGAATGAAAGATTATTTCTGTAGTGTGAGTAGTAAATAATTTCTGTGTTTTGAAGGGACCATCAGGTTGTTTTTATTCCAAAAAACTAGACAGACTAGTAGATCTTGATTCCAGGTTATAAAGTAATTATCTTTGTGACTGTTTTCTTTTGTGTGGTATATACAGATCATAGAATCATGGACTAATTTATGTTGGAAGGGACAACAGGAGGTCATCTGGTTCAATCTCATTTTCTAAGAAGGACCAAATGACCCTGAGCAACCTGATTTAACTTCATATTCAGTCAAGTTCTGAATATCTCCAGTTCCAGTGTTTGACTGCCTTAGCTACCTAATATCTAGTTAGAATTTCCATTGTTGAAAATTATCTGTTGTTTTTCTTCCCTTTATACTTAAATACTTCTGCAAGTCTTTTGTACTTAAAGGAAATGTTGTGTTTGATTACAGCAACCTCATCAAGCATAGACAGAAGTGCTCCACTTGAAATTGGTCTTCAGCGGTCCACTCAAGGTACAGTTTAACTAAAAAAATAACTTTGAGGTTTACTTTATGAAAGTCTACTACAGTCTTGCATTTTTAATGTCCTCTTTTTCTTGTAGTTAAAAGAGCAGCAGATGAAATATTAGCAGAAGCAAAGAAACCAAGAATAGAGGTAAGGGCAGTAACTGTCTTCAATACAATTTGAGGGGTGGTGGTAAATTACAGTAATTACCTGTTTTGGAGCAGTTCAGTTGGGCTACCTGTCCTCTGGGTACACACAGTACTGCTGTTAGTGTGAACATGAACTGGAAGGAGTTAGAATTTAAGCCTCTGATTTAAACTTGGAATTTTAGTTGCTGGATGTGTGTTGTAGTATGAAAGAGGAAACCTTGATCACCTATCTGTAAGTGCCTGTTGCATTATAACCTGTCTAAGGATTGGAATAGAAGTGCTGTTTAGTGACCAATTATGGTTATTTGTTATCCATGAGTTGGCAATTATAACTTAAATGCCAGTCTCATCTCTATCAATGGATGGTTATTTGTTTTACCTGCTTAGTCTCTTTATAGCAGTATATGAAACTGTTCCTGTGGTTACTGTTTTCTGAAGCAGTTTCTTACATAATTAATTTAACAGTGTGTTTTCACAAGTACCTCTTTAAAAGAAGCAATGTGTCTATTTATTAAACACATTATATTACTTAACTCTACCTGGTTTTAAAACAACTGACTTAATTTTTTTTTTTAAAACTATGTTCATCCAGTTGTCTCCTCTGAGTCGTTATACATCTGGCTGTATATATTTTCAGTGCATTTTAAATGCACTGAGGCTTTAAATTTCTTAAAAGAAGGGTTATCAAATACATGAATTCCTTATTCAAAAATTTTATTTGAACTTTGTTTGTACTTAGGTCTAACTGTGTAAGAATTATAAAAACTTTTTGCATTCTTAATGGTACATGAGGAGATGATTAATGTGAGGTGACCTATTGGTGATTTATGGATTTTTATTCTACTTTACCCTGTAATGGCTGTGATGCCAGTATGTGTTGAGATTGTAGATCTTCACCATCATAATTTGGAGAATCAAGAATTCTGCATATAAGCCTAATGAACTTTTGGTCATCTTAATTTGTTTTCTTGCTGCTCTGGCAACTCAGAGTCTATAAAGTCTGTTTTAAGTTATTCAGAGATCATCTTAGTGTAGAGATTCCAGGTCTCTCCTGATATGTTGGCATGACTTTTGCTGTGCTTCAGCCTTTTCAAACAGCCTTTTGTCAACAGTACAGGCTTGATGGTGTTTTAAGTTTTGTGGGGAACTAAGATGGAACACAAGTAAAGCGGCTGAAAAGATGGCATAAAATTACATCTCTCTACTGCTTTTTCAGATTACACCTCTGTCTCAAAGCTGGCTTGAGTAACAGTAACTAGTCTGGCTCAAACCTGGCTAGAGTAACTCTTGACTTATTTTTTATATTTATTAGGAATGCAGTTTATAAAAGTTCTGCATCAAGATACAACAGTTCCAAGCAATTCTTTTCTTTCAAAATGTCACTGGTTAAATATCTGGGAAAATTTGCGTGTCCAATAAATTTACCTTAAAAATGTGTGTATATGTATTGTACTCCCTGAATGTATGCATTGCTTGCCAGTTTTAAGTTCTCGGTTTTTTCTGTTGTTCTAAATTATTGTCTGAGCAAGGCTCTTTATGAGGGAATTGTAGTTTTCTTTTCATTATACTAATTATACTTTGTGGGTCTTGAGAGGAAATTTCCAGTAACTTTACGGTTAATGCTAGTGCACAGATTAAAAATACTTGGGAATAAAGATTGTCCTTGTTAGTGTGGAAAAACAAACAAAACAACAAAAACCCCCAGATCTGAATAGCTTTAATTCTAGTTGTATTTATTTTTTTAAAGAGACTGCACAAAAGATTAAACATTACAGTTAAATATTACTGTTACTGCTAGGATGAAGAGTGTGTGCGCCTTGACAAGGAGCGATTGGCAGCTCGGTTGGAAGGACATAAAGAAGGTATCGTGCAAACGGAGCAGATCAGGTAGGAATACATTTTCTTATGGGTAATGCTCAATTAAGGAACTGATAACAATTCTTGTGCGTTTCAAGGCAGACAGTGTTACTCCTGTCCAACAGCTCTCCCTTAGGTGCCATAATTGGTAATGCTTGAGGAGACAGAATTTCATGCCTTGTCAGACTCCTGTTCTTCAGTGGAAGTTCAGATGTCATGGTGTAAGATTTGGTTTGTCTTCATAAGCAAGCGGACACTTGTCTTTTCTTCCCACCAAGTCTGCCATTTCTGCTTTCTTCTGCCATGGTGCTTACTGAATACAATGAGCAGAATAGCAAGGGGAAGCTGATTATCTCTGTACTTCAAAGAAAAATATCCTGTATTGAGGGATGTCTTGCATGCAAAAGGAGGAAAACATTGTGAGACCAGATCAAAGGGTAACACAGCCTCTGTTTGACTCCCTGCAGAGGTGAGCTTCTTGCCTCTGAAGAGATAGTAGGCTACCAGAGGATAATGCACTGTCATTGCCATAAGTAGTAATCAGTTATTCAAGTGCTTAAAAATCTGTCCATCACCTTTCTTCTTCTGTTGTGTCTGTCCAGAATTCTGTGAAGTATGATAGCTGGTTTTTAGTCTTGCATCATATCTCCCCAAAGGCAAGCAGAGAGGAAATTAGATTCTTGCAAGATCTTGGGCTTAGTAGGTTGCCAGACTCTAGTAGTTTATTTTCAAATAGTCGAGTTCAGATGCCTTAAAGCAAAGCAAGCTGCTTAATTTGTTTAGTGTGTCAGCTTCCATAATGTGAAATGGGAGTCATGCTTCCTACAGTTAAGGTGTATGAGTATGCATTAACGTACTGCTCTGTCTGCACTGAATTTTGCAGATAAGTAGTTTCACTTGATAGACCTGCTGCATTCTTGAGGAATGTCTCTTGAGTATAAGCAATGCTTGTCTGTCCTTTAATAAGATTAAACTTAAAGTTAGCCTTGCAACAATTAATACAGCAAAGTTGAGGTGTTTATAGAATCCATAATTACGCCTAGCCACATAAAAAATACATATTTTGAATGTGTTTTTCCTCTGTCTCTTGTTTAGGTGTACTTCAAAGGAAACTATAGAAGAATAAAAAAACAAGAATCTGATTGTTACATGACAATCATAAGTCAGATTGTAAAATCTGATTTAAAATCAGAAAGCCGAATGATCAAAAAATCAATAACGTACACACGTTGTTTTGTATAAACTGATAATTTGGATACTAGCCTGAGTGTATCCCAGCTTTGTTCAGTGCTGCAGTGAGGATTACTCAGTATTATTCATAATTACTTTGTATTCTGTATTTACATATTTTTTTAAAATGCTGAATATAAAAGACTGCCCTTTTTTTTAAAAAAAAAAAGTGAGTTTGAACTGCATGTTTTTTCCTGCTTGTTACTTTAACAGCAACACAAAGTTCCCTTTTTAATAGCTTAGTTGTGAAAGGAATCTCATGACATAAGATTGTCTGGGGTATGTGCAGTTAGGACTATGCAATTTGGCCCGCCTTTTTTTTTTCTTCTTCTCAACTCACCTGCAAAACAGTAGGGCTCACTGTTTGGCAACCAAATTCTGTGTTTACAATTAAAAGCAAACAGATAAAGATTGTGCACTCTTGGACTGAACTGAGCTACCTCAAACATGGATTAATGTGGACAAAGTTACTGCCATCTGTTTTTTGTTTGGCCTATATGTTCTAAAAATGTAACACATCTTCCAAGTGGCCAAGTCCCCTTAACAGCATCTCAGCCAAAATTTAGTTGAATGCGTTGAAAGCCTCAGAGCAGCCAGAGATTGACTTAACACAAAACTGTAATCCACTGAGAATAATGGGGAGCTGAAATTCAGATGATGATGTAAGTAGAAGTGTTAGTCCTGATGCTTTACATTTGCAGTCTTTACTTCTACTTGTTATAGTTGGGATTTTTTGACAATTTTTGTGCTAATACCAGAATGGAGTCTTTTGTGTGCCCAAAGCAGTGATACCAAGCTCATGTAGTCTTCGAGTATATGTCAGGTTCACTATTTTATGATTTGTCACTTAGGCATAAGCTTTAAGCAGGGTGAAGTTACTCATTCACAAATTCAGAAGAATTGTTTGTGCATTTGTTCAGTCTCTTCTGTTGTTTTTGCTCATTTAGGTCCTTGTCCGAAGCCATGTCAGTGGAAAAAATTGCTGCTATCAAAGCAAAAATCATGGCAAAGAAAAGATCCACTATCAAAACTGATCTGGATGATGACATAACTGCTCTTAAACAGAGAAGTTTTGTTGATGCTGAAGTGGATGTAACCAGAGATATTGTCAGCAGAGAGAGAGTATGGCGGACAAGAACTACGATCCTACAAAGCACGGGCAAGGTAATGCTCTGGATACCAAGCTATTGTAATGATACAAGTGACAAACTGCATTGGAGAGCTGTTGGCACAGTGACAGAAGAGTTTGTTCTTACCTCATTACTGTAGACCTAAAATGTAACTCAAAACACTTGTTTCAGCCATGTAAAATATATGAAGTGATGGCTTAATTCCTCTTAACCAAAGCCGGAGTGTAACTGATAGAAGTAGTAACATGTGTACATAGAAATTCCAAAGGCTGCTAAGCTGTGGAAAACACCGAAGGATTAAGGTGAGAAAATGCTAAAATGAACAAAACCGAAGTGTTACCATGAGGATGCTTTTCTGTATATTTTTGTTCCTTCATGCTCCTTTAATCCATGCCTTTAGCTTCACTTGGTTATGTGCTATCCAGAACATGGTTTGCAAGCACAGCTGACAGCTTGCTGTCTTTGGACAGAAAGACTTTATTGCAGTGATACTTGGCACTAAATTTCTCGAGGAAGCATTAAGTCAATTTCTAAAAGATTGCAAATGTCTGTTTTCCTGAGGTTATTGTCCTTTACAAAAGATTGCATCCTTTGCCTTTACTCCTTTAAGTACTGTCACAGGAAAATAATATTTAGAAGTAAATGAGTTTTTATTTCTTAATGGTATTTTACATAACGCTCATTTGTACAACCTGGTCTCATGGCATTAGTGGTGGAATAATTTCATTCATGAATTGTGGGGTAATTACTGGATGAGTGGCATGTACCTGCATGCTGCATCCAGAGTGAGTGTTGCTGCTTTGAGTCTGTGAGATGTGTAGCAATCTCACTGCTGAAGAGTTGAAAACAATTGGTAAAAGCCTTTAACACTGTAGTTGTTGGAAATGTTTGCACAGAAGGAATCTGGATAGCTTTTCTTCCTCTAGCAAATCAGTCATGGCATTCACATCTTTATGTCTTCCAAGGGAAACTTGGAAAGATACTAGGGAAGGAGTTGAATGTTTTATTGTAGTATCCTTGTAATAGTAGTGTGATTGAGGGTAGTAGTTTTAAGCAAAACCTATCACAGGGAGAAAGAAAAGAAACAAGACATCAAGTTTGCTCTTGATCTCCAGCACGCAGTTGCTTTGACTACATGATGAATGTAATAGGCATACTAGCAAGTCTTTATTTCTGTTCTTGCAGAATTGCAGGAGATTTTTTGATAGCATGGACAGAAATCATTGAATGTAAGGTTTATATTTTTGTAAAACTAACAGTAAGTAGATACTGAAACAAGACTTGCTACTGAGGGCTGTGATTTATCCTAGAGCAGCTTTGTAGGTTGGTTGGGAGGGCTTTTGGTTGATTTTATTTTTATTTTTTTAAACACCTTTGTGAAGGCCTTCCTATATATATTCCTTGGATATATTCTCTCAGGCAGATCATTCCATAGCTTTTGGCTTGGTCATTTAAAGAGTATTGATCAGGGAAGCATGATACCCTGCCGCAAATGCTGTTTTGACTTTTCTGTGTGACACTCGAATTGCGAATGCGCCTGATAATTCTTTTGATTGTAAATTTTCACTCTGCTTGGTATAGATTTATCTGCACTCTCTTGAATCCTTGTGAAATATTTAAAAACAATTTGACTTCAGCAGTAGTTTACATGCCATGTAGTGTCTCTTTAATATCTGAATTCCTTTAAAACTCCTGGGTGAGTGGTGACAAAGAGTGAGCACTCCAAAATGTTGATTTTGTGGTTTCTTTCCAAAAATATCTTTAGTGTGAGGCAGCTCCTCAAACTCTTGTTTCCACAGAGAAAAACTCCTGTGTGTGAACTTTCTCAGTGTTCTCTGTAGTAAACAAAGATGCAGAGATAGCTTAAGATGCAAAAGGAAAACACTAGGAAGATCGGGCTGCAGCAAAAAGAAAATAGTCTATCAATCATCCTTATCAGCTTTCTGGCACACTTCCTCTGGTTTTGATGTGGTTGAAAAAAATACCAATTCCTCCAGCAAGATACTTCTCAAAAATCTGTGTAGATGTCAATAATCTTAACTATATTTATAAAGTATTTGCTGTTTCTCCTTTTGGACACACACTCTGATTCTGAAGTTTACTTTTTACTTCAAATAGCCTTTTTTTGCTTTATAGAACTGTGCCAGGGTTTTTTAATTTTTTTCCAAGTCTCCAGTGATGTAGTGCTCTTTTCTAACATCTTGAAAAGTTTTCATGATACTTGCATTCTGCCCTTTAGGTGCTACTTTTAATTCTTTTGATAGCATCTTTATTTGTATGTAGCTCCTCTTGCTGACATTAAATAGTGGTGGGGTTTTTTCCTGGTTGTAGTTTTTGTTTTGTTTACAGAATGTTGAATTTCAGTGTGTCGGTAGTCCTGTTCTAGAATATTCTCCAGCACCTCCTTCTCTGAAGTGGATTCTGTGGACTAAATGAAGAGATGTTTTTCCTTTTGTGACTACTTTGGGCAGTTGCCTCAAGAAGCAGTTGCTTCTGATAGCCGAAGAACTATTGCTGCATCACTTCCCTTCTTGACACTTATCCAACCTACAAAGTAACTGCAGTCTCTCATAATTACTCTCATAATTAATTTTCTTCTTTGAAAGTCTCTATACTGTCCCATCCATATTGGCAATGTAGCCCTAATGCTTTGGTAACTTGGGACAGTTTATCATTCATTCAGTTGTTGTCATTCAGTTTCTGTGACTTGGAGCTTTCCATAATGCATCACACAGGTCCTTCCTCTGTACACCACCCTCTGTTACCCATTTTTGATCAGATGTTGCATTGATCCCTGTCTTTTCACTGATTTTTGTGAGGTTCCTACTGTTTGTAAATTCAGATATTTTAGGTTAGCTGTCCTCTTTTGTTTTTAAGATGTCTAGAATTTACATTTGCTTGCTTATTTCTGTTTTGCTTAGAACTTATCAATAGTTTTATGTCTGATTTTGCAGTTCTGCCTTCTTTTGGAAATAGCATCTTTGATTTAGTTGCTGGTGGATGAGTCATCCTGCACTGTTTTAAACATCTATTGGCCTTCCCCAAGTCTGTAACGTAGTCCTCTAGATTTTATGAATGTGACGTTTTTATGTGATCACTTTTCAGAGGCAAATGACGTGTGTTTAGTTTAAGTTTTGGGGTTTTTTTCTCTCATAGTAGCTTAATTTTAGAACTGTCTGTGAGGATATATTGTTTAAAGTACTTTATTTTCAGGTTTGACTAAAGGCATGCAATGTAACATTGCTGTTTTGGTGAGTCAACTGACAGTCTAACAAACAGAAAACTTAGTCAGATTTCAAAAGCAATAGGAGTACTTGGTGCTAGAGCTGCTTCTGAATTCCTTTACCAGTCTTTTAACAGCCACAGCTGTTGGAGTTTTTAAAAAATTAATATTTTCTGTTTGTCTTCACTCTTCATGCAGTCCAGTTCTCATTCCTAATCTTCACAAACATGCACAAAATCAGGGTGAGAGAATTGCTGTCATCAGACTTGATACAACTAGATATGCTGGGGGAAAGAAGCAGTGCAGGTATAGGGAAAAGAGTTTAAAGAAGGAAGAGGAGAAATTATTTAATTTGTAGATTGATATTTGGACAAGGTGTCCTGCTGCTGTAAGTGTCTCTCTGGAGTTTTTTCTTGCCTTTTTTGTATAAAGCAGACATCATAGTTTCTGGTGCTTACTTATATTAAAAGGGTATGAATGAGTTTTTGATGTAGTCATGTCATTGACTACAGAACCTGTTTCTGGAAAGCAGTTTAAGTCTGTCAGATTTGTATATATGTTACATCAAACTGAACTGAAATATTGTCTGGTGAAGAAATGTCAGAATTAATATTGTCACTTTTGAAACTGCAAATCTTAGGAGAAAATGCTAGCAAAATATTACTTTTGTAACCTCTTTATTGAGAGAATCTTTGTTTATCGAAGTGAGTATCTTCTGCAGTAGCTAAAGTTTTGAACCTGTATACAGGATATTTACCATGTAAGTGGTTGGAGTGGTAAGTTTCAAATTACTGCTTTGTAAAGGTTTCAGTTCTTGTGTACATGTTTTTAGATAGATGGCTGTCTTGTAAAACAAACAGTTGAACACCTGGGGGGGGAACCAAAACAAACAAAAAAACCCAAACCAATACAAAATAACCAACACCCACCCACACC